GCTGTTTCTTTGTATGCTGGTGACAAAACAATGCTCAATCATAAACCTTTCTGGGAAACAAATGAAGAAACAACATGAGCAAGTAAGAGCATGCTCAATGAGCTGATCCATTAAGCCCCACCCCATGGTGTTCTGACCAATCACAGCTGTGATTTATGTCCGATATGAGTACACAAATACCCAACATAGGTAAAAGCACTAATGTTACTGTGGCTGAAACATTAATATGGGTGATTCACAATAGTGCACCTCCAAGAGTATGCAACGCAATGACCAATCACAAGGGGCAAAATCTGTCGACCCTTTCCAAATGTGCATTGGGTTGACAGATTTCACACACCATGATTGGTCGACGAACTGCAAACTCTTGGAGGCGCACTATTGTGAAACACCTGTATTGCCACTGTGCTTATGGAGCAGGGCTTACTGGATTCATCTATATGAAAGGAATGCTGTGTTAGATTGCTGTACCGCACCAAAAAGATATTTCCACTTTCAATTAAAAGCAATGCATGAACAGAACAGAATGGAGTGATCTATTGTTACTGTACAAATTCAAGTGATACAAATTAATTTTCATATCAGTATACATGAAGGGCAATGATTTATGAATGCTGCTTCATTAAAAAACATAAAATAGAGTATCGAGTGCTGTAAATCCATGTCAATATTGATCCACAACAGCATATCATAAAAGCTGTCAACTATTGAAGGACAAGGTGTTTAATCAGACAGATACATACATGTACCACAAGTAAGTACAAAATGCTGAAGAGTGATATTGATATACAAATAAGATCATGTATTGCTGAACTGTTGAAACTTTTTACATTTTTAAATAGGCACATTCATGAATTAAGTAGAAATGGTTTATTTCATTAAAAAAATACAATAAGATACATAAAACTACAATAAGAATAAACCTTTTACTTCATGATTTTAAAATAGTCTGGCATTCAAGATAGGGATGAGCATGTATTGCATGTTTCATCTTCGTAGCAGATTCAAACTTTTGAAAACCAAAACCTTGCCCAAGGCACAATTAAGGAAAGAAAGAATTTCTAATTTCCAGGATATACAATGATGACCGCTGAGAAAGGACAGTCTAAGCAGGAAGAATCTTTTATTGCAAACATTGACAGACACTGATCCACATTTAATCCCAAATGTGCCCAACATCATTAAACCTTTAACAGCAAGTCCCACATAATTGAAAAACATCCTGGAACTCCACGTTATTTGCTTTTCCCCCATCTAGGCTGGCCCAGGACTAACCCATAGCTTTGGCCACTCAATGACAGATGTATTGGACTTTGGTATTCTTTGGATGGCAGCTGTGCTCAGCACATTTTTTGAAAATTTCAGTCAGCAAAGCATTCTCTAATTGTCTTTTATTCATGTTGCAGTCTGTGGATGAGCACAGATTTCTGTTGCACTGTCAATGCCATCCTTTATTTAAGTTATATTTTCCAGAATGAGCCAAGGAGTTCCGAAGTTTATAAAACTGGTAGCAATATGAATATGTGCACTAGACATTCAACAAAAAACTTTCACAATCAAGTTAGCTCAGATACCCAACCCTACTAAAAGGTCAAGCAAATATAACAGCATTGTTTGATGGACAAAGAATTCGACTTTGCAAGGGAATAAAATCTAGGGTAGGGGAATTAAGCTCAATAATGGTTAAAAAAGGTTGAGTTGGTTAAAAATGTAATGCAGTAGACCATTCATCTGTGTAAGAGAAGAGCAATTATGTCTGAACAAAAAAGAGCTACTACATGTCTGTCTGTTTGCAACATTACATCCATCTTGTCTGCATTTTGAAGTTTTAAGATAAAATGCTTTTATCATGCATGTACAGGTGCAATAAGACATGTAGGGTAAAAATGATGTGTGCAGATCAATTAGATTTGAAGAAAAATGCCAACAAAGATTCACCAGATAACATCATCATATAAAGAATGAACCCAATTGGACCAACAGTTCTCTAGTGATAGGTCCTATAAATGTGTATCTTTAAGATGAAGTCACATGACCTGTCATCATGGCATCACCTTGATTTTCACATGTAACACATCCCATTCTACAAAAACACAAAGACTGAACAAAATCAGATTAAAGGTTCTCTCGTAACAGGCCTCAATTAAGTACATTTGAGATGACATCACATGACCTGTGATGACGTCAACCCAACCCGATTTTCACCTTTTGACACATCCCTTCTTTCGTCAATGCTACGTTTCACCCACGTGAGACTTATAATTCTGGAGAAACTGGCCTGCAGAGAATTCAACTTGGCAGGTGCACCATGTGACCTCTGATGATGCCATCACAGCCTGGCTATTCTTCTATCTACACATACAGGTCTTCCTTGGTGTCAAGGGCATCGCTAGATGGACTGTCACGCAAAACAAGTGTACTGTAGTCTGATTCCCTAGCCCGACACCTACCTGATGTTTTTAATTTTGCCGAGAGACCATGATTTTGCCGATAACACTAACCAATGGGAGGTGACCACCCCCCCGGCCCGTGCTTGGTGTGACTTTAATGAAGATGAAGTATAGTGACCAAAGCTGCCCCGAGAAAATCAAGACAATCAGTTTGAGTAAATAATTCAAAATCTTATAATAAAGCATGGGATGATGTCATCATGACATGATTGAGAACAACCTAACAACCAATTTATATGCCAATCAGAGCACAACTAGTATGTGTACAAAAATTACTACTTATGATGTGTCATCATGAGTCACAAAAGTTTTCAAACAACTCAAGCTCCTACTTGGCTTACCCAAGTTCTTGTTGGAATGTTGAAGAAAAGAACATTAAAGTAAGGAAAATGGAAAATCAAATATGCCTTGGTTTAAGTTTGAGTCAAGTTCTGATTCAATTAGACTTAGAGTTCTGGAGAAATAGACTTGCAAAGAATGCAACTTTGAGGGCATGTTACTTGACTTGTGATAATGTCACAATGACATGCTTCAAGGACCATATTTGCTATACGGTCTGTGCTTTGGGCGAGTTTTATGAAGATACCACCTTGTAAGGGCACTTAAGTCCAGGGTAGAAGAAACATGTAAAAAAATCACATCTTTGCTACAGGGTCTTTGCTTGATGCAACTTTGATGAAGATACGAACTTGCAAAGGGACTGAAGTGCCATGCAGAAAAACCCTGTACAAAACGAACAGAGTTTTGGTGGAAGAACAAGGAGGAGAAGAAAAAAAAAAACCTTGACAAAAAAATGCTTTTTCTGCAACTTGCGGAAAAGCCAAAACGAGACGTACTATGTCTGCAACAGAACATAGAGCCTTTCCACATTTCTAAGTTTTCGTAAATATGCACTTGCCATTCATATATATGTGGTACAGGATATGTAGATGTGCAGAACGTGTACAAGTCCATCAGATGTGTGGGAAAATATGAAAGTCTACCAAAATTCATAGGAAGGATAATATCTTCATGGCGTAATTAGTTTGACCCATGACACATCCCCGTCTACCTACATACCAATAATGGTAAGAACTAGGTTCTCTAGTTATTGGACGTTAAAATGTGCACATTTAAGGTGATGTAATGTGACAATAATGAGGTTATCATATTGATCTCATGTTTCATCTGTGACACATCCCCATCTACATACAAACAAAATTTGAAGCCATTAGGATTCAAGGTTCACTAGTTATAGGACATTAAAAATCACCTTTAAGATGATGTCACATGACCCCTGATGACCTCATCATAACATAATTGTAATTATCATCTATTAAACATCCCTGTCTACACACATGTAAAAATTGAACAAAAGAGGACTCAAAGTTCTTTGGTTATAGAGCCTTCAAGTGTGCACCATTTAACATAACGTCACTTGACCTGTGATGAAGTCATCATCACATCACCCCAATGTTCACTTGTTATACCTCCCTCTTTTGAGCGCATGCCAAATTTCATCCTTGTCAAATCTATTGTTTGGGGATACTGGACCTGCAAAGAATTCAACTTGGCAGGTATGTCACGTGATCCCCAATAATATCAAAATAATCAAACCCTTCCAGTCTAATCTATGCATAGTCTTTCCTTGGTGCAATTTTGATGAAGATGAAAGACTGCAAAGTCACCAAAGAAGCCCCTTGAAAACTGTGTACAAAGTCAATTCTTTTTTTTGTGTAGATTCAAAAAGTTAAATAACGAATTTTGTGATGAGGTTACCACGATGAAATTATGATGTGTATTATCCTGAGAACGTTTTCTACCTATCTACTGATTTTTTATCCAAACTACACAAAACTCTACTTGGCCTATCCAAGGTCTTGCAAAAATGTTGAAAATATTACTTTGTTCAGAAGAGACATCGAAAAGAATGTTATAAGGATACAGAAAAAAAAAATCATTAAAAATCAGGTAATGACGTTATCATAACATCATACCAATTTTGACACAGTTCACATCTTGGTTTGTTTCTGTGCCAAGTTTCCATCAATCTAACATATGGTTCTGGAGATACAGGCAAACATTCAACTTCACGGGCGTATCAAATGACTTGTGAGGACATCATCATAACATCCTG